TGCTTTAGTTGTTTTGCATGAAATAGCACTTCACTTATTTTAGTTATTTTCTGTACAATATTATGTTGTAACATAATTTTTTAAAGAATAGGTATTAACTAAAATCAAGTATCTACACCCCCAAGTTATAAACAAAGAGAAATTAGAGCCAACAATATTGGGGCAGACGTGAGAATTGATTCACCGAAATGGATATGGAGATGTGGGGCTTTGGATACCTCTCCTCATCTCTTACATATCTTTATTACTATTTTAATTCAATCTCTTATTATAATGCCAGAAAAGGATAATACATATACAAAGATTGCAATGTTTGGATCCTTAATAAAACTCACCTAGACTACCAACTCAGAAGTCAAAGGTGTTAAGATTAATAAATTGGTCTAATGAGTTAACGGGAATTTTTTTATTTTTTATTTTTTTTTCATTTTGAGGCACTGTGTTACTTCGTCAGTCTCTCTCTCGTTTTTGTTTTTTGGAGAATAAACCTAAGCCAAAGCCAACTCGAAATTTACTTCACTTTCTTTCATATTTATCAGACAATGTAGGTCGCTGGAATTGAATTTGTCTTCTTAAAGCCTGGATTCAGTTTTGATCTTGTTATTTTAGGCTAACATGGCATGAATTCATGGACACAATTGGTGAAGAAGAGTCATATGATGTTGTTGTAATGTAACCAAAGCCAAATAGTGACCGGAGGACCTGTCTGGCGGCTTGAAATTAGACTATGCTGTTGGAAAAGGGCGAGGGGACAAGGGACAAGGGCAAGGGGCGGGGGAAGTGGGTCCTTGCTGATAATTGCAAGTTAAATGTGGAAAATCTACGAATCAGGCCATGTACCATGAATCTGTAGGCATCATTGCTTGCCTAACCAATCAGTCAGAAAGTTTTTGTAACTTAAATTTGGTTCTTTTTTTTTTAAATTAATTTTTCATTTGTGACAAAGTTTTGGACCACTGAAGAACTTTGCAAATTGCAAAATAGAGCAGCTCTCACTATCTAGACGTCTGTGTATGATGGATGGATAATAAGAGCTTGCTTAATTTCAAAGATACATATATACATATATATATATATATATATATATATATATATATTCTGTTAGATGCTTTATTCCTTCTTCATTTACTTTCAAAATTGATTTGATTGCTGTCAAAAATTAAATTGTCTCTGGTGGGAATTTGGAAGGGTCCTAGCACCCAAGACTTGGAAAAATTAATAAAAAGCAATGTATCAAAACAGGTAGAACGTTCGTAAAATTAAGGTTTTATGTTTACTTTTGAACATTCATGAAGAAAGGCAGAAGAAATTCTACTTCATCTCAAGAATCTCGTGATTGGGTATTTTTTTTTTTTTTTGAAAAATGGTGTTTTATTCTTCCATATGCTATAACAAGTCTTAAGCAAAGCTTGCTAGAGATTTTGGTGGCATGGTGAATTTGAATGGCAAATGGACTACGATTATATTCCAAATGATTGAATTTTGAACCATTTTAAATTAAGATTGATTTAATATTTTATTATTTATATTTGAATTATTTTAAATTTAAATTACTCGATGTTTCGTTTCAATTCAAATTGATTAAAAAATTTTTAAGTTAGAAATCTTTCTTTTTATTTTATAATTAGTCTTCTATTTTTTTTTTGTTTATAAAGTGATATAAGTAACACATATGGGACTGGTCCCCTTAATTTTTAATGTACTTTTCGAATTGATGAAGAGAATATATTTTATTATTGATATTATATAAAATTGCTACATTAACCAGTAATCTGTTTTCCGAATTCGGGGTAAATTCTTTCTCTTGTACAATTTATCCAACAGGCCTTTTTATGATTAGTATAATTACTCATTTGGGACAACTTTTTGATCAATATATAATTTAAACAAAAAAAAAAAGAAAGAAAGAAAAGGAAAGAGAGATGGGGTTTTCTTTTGCTACTTCATTCTTAGTTTGGTCCATTTTTAATTTTTATTTTCCAATTCGTGACAAGATTGGACCACTGGACAACTTTGCAACTTGCACCAGAGCATATGTGGAGTCTCTAGCACCAGTTGATTTTTCAAACATATTCTAAGTTATAAGCTTTTGATTAATCTTTCTTCCTTAAGATTTTTCCGTAAAAATATATATATATATATATATATATATTGTGTTCCTTTTCTCTAAACGGGGAAATATGTAAGGCAGGAAGACAAAGACAGAGTAATCAACAATAATTTGCTTTCTAGTACAACATAACTGTATATTAAAGAAAGAAATTATGTGAATTTTGACAAAATCACAAGAAGGGGAATAACACAAGAAACATGTGAAAAGTCTCCAATATCATGTAGTGGCAGCTATTTTACATGTTGTGTTGGGATTGGATGGGTTTACATATATCACAATTTTGAATTTTTGATTTGGTTTCAAGTTAATTTGATCTTTCGTTTATATTTCTATTCAATTGATTTCAACTTTCAAGTCATTTTGAGTTTGTGTTGCTTGAAATTTTACAGATTTCAACTACGCATGCGCTTATGCATACAAAACAAAGAGGGATCAGTTTCAGTAGAAATTTCGTGCACTTTTACTATCGAATTCTTTTCTTTTCTGTAAATAGTAATCACATTATTAAATACTGAAATTGATACAGGGCCCCAAAAGTAGAAAAGAAGGGACTGGCTGGCTTTTGACCCACCAAACCGAAGAGAAGTGACCTATTGCTCTCAAGCATGCAGTAGATATGTCAACAAAATGTCTACCCAACCCAAAGAATTGGTTAACATAAAATTTTCAGAAAATTGTGGTGCACTAATCAGAAATTTGATTTTTCTAATTAGAATGAAGATCTTGGTCTTGTCTCATTCTCAGCTGGAAAAAGATAGCTATCCTGAAATGGTCCTTCCTTTCCCAGAAGCTTCATATGAATGTGTTGAACATCAAAGATACCTTGGGGACTTCAACACAAGTAGACAAATTAGGAGCATCCATTTTTTTGGGAGGACTTTTTCAACAATTTCTCCTCTCCTCTTCTGGTTTTTGGTGACTTTGGAAATATTTTCGTGATATATATTCTAAGGAGCAATGTATCCAGACCCCTTTTTTTCAAAGTTCAAATTGTGATTGATAGGCTCTACGTTTAGGATAATGATTTTGATAAAATAAAATAAACAATTTATTATTAATAGGAGTATTATTTTTTGGCTAGCCTTCGGAAGAAGGCAAATAGATCTGTCGTTATCAAATTTGAGTGTGGAGACTGAGTGGGTGCTCATGTCGAATTCGGGGGCCTTTGGCAGCAATTTCTGATTATTTCTAGCAATCATTCACATGAATCCCGTTTTTAAAACAAAAAAGGGTGCGGTTGAAAGTTCATTAGCATGAAATATCCAAACCAAACTTATTGAGAAAATTTATCATCTACTTAGTGAATCAATGTCTTTCTTTGATGAAGGTTGGTAAAATTTTAATTCTCTTCTTTGATAAAAAGAAAATCTTAATTGTTTTATAGAGCATGTACTGTTATGGTTGTTGTTTATATTTTGTCATCGTCAGTGAACACTTTTTACTGTTTACCACAAAAAAAGAAAAAGTTTCTTTTTCAAAGTAAAATACTTTTATCATTCTCCCAGATCAAGTTTCTTTCCGCCATGGAATGGTATATCCAGAATAACCTGGCTTAAGAAGACTTGTTGAGAACTTCCTTTTTGGTTATTTTCTCTTTTTCTTGTTCATTTTTGTGTCATCCTCTGAACCATTGGGACAATTAATCCATGCAAAGGCTTGGCAGTCCCCGGTTGATAATCATCCCATTTCTGAAAATTCAACTCCATGTAATCAACCTGAATGTAAATATCTTGGGGTGGATGGAAGGATCCATGGAGTTTCCATCCACAAATGACACTACTTTTCTTTCTCCTTTCTGTTAAACCCTTTTATCAACACCCCACATCCATCATGTTTCAATTTGCAATGAGTACACCATCTTGACTTTACTCGTCTTCCCAATAATGGGATTATCAAAGAGGTTTTTCTTTTTCTTTTCTTCCCTTATGCCTCCGTGACTGGCGTTGGTCATGGATTGTTAAACAAATGTTGTGTATAGATACACATATTGAGAAACTCCAAGCATTTGGATTTTGGATGTGAAACCTTTACTTAATGATTTTTCATATTTTCAATGTATAAAAGGGAAATGATATGCTTGAAATAGGTAGTGGTTTTCATTGTCAAGCCATGTAGCGACTAAATCCTTGGATGTTTGCCCCAATTCATTGAACAATCATAAATGAAAAGTAGCATCCCATCCAATTTTATTGATCTAAAGGTCGCATTTTGCCCGCTAATGCATAGAACAAACAAATCATTCCTACTAGAAAAAGAAAAAGGTGGAGTTAATGATTGTTAAGAGAAAAAAATGATAATGTAACATATTGACGTGGTATGATAATATTTATATGTACTATTTTTTATTATTTATGTCAATGTCATATAGATATAAAATGATTAATGATATTTTGATTATTAATAATTAGTTAAATATCAGTTATAGAAATTTATTTAATCTAAAATAAAAATATAAAATTTAAGTGAATGAAATAAAAAAATAAAAATATTTAAAAGTTTTTTAAATATTATGGAAAAAAAAAAGATATTCCCAATTTCTTCCTACCAATTTTCTGTTCACAAAATATTTTGACGGTTATTTCAACCGCCGAAGGCTGAGTTGTTACCATCATCCACGTGGGATGACAAGTGGACAAGGTCCCATGTGTAGCTCATATTCGACAAAAACTGACTTCATATGCTGATGTCACCTTGCTCTGACCTAGCCGCCATGCCTGAATTGACCCACGTGTTCATTTAACCTTGGCTGTGGAACCCACATAAAAAGAGATCAAATAATATAATGCCATATCAGCTTCCCTGGCCACCTGTCTACTCTTCTGGCCCTTATTCTTTTGCCGTCCTATTTTACATTTAAATCCTCTGTTCGGGGTATATAAAGGGTGCTAAAGCCTTAAGCTTTTTGCTCTGCCTCCACCTCCCAACACCTTTCCCGAAACAGAGTCGAAAAACAGAGGAGCAACAGAGAAACACTTCCAGAGCCTTAGAGCCTTAGAAAAAACAATGGATTCCTGCCTCTTTCACTCCCCAAATTCTAACTCCTCATCGGAATCTTCATTTGGGTCACCGGAGTTCTTCCCTTTGCACAACAACTATCTTCCTTTCAACGAAAATGACTCCGAGGAGATGCTTTTATACGGGCTACTCGCGGAGGCTACACAAGAAACATCAGAAATAACGTATCCTAATCAAGTAAAGGAAGAAGAGGTTAGTTCAATGGAAAACGAAAGTCCAAAGAAAGAAAAGTCTTACCGGGGTGTAAGAAGGCGTCCGTGGGGGAAGTTTGCGGCTGAGATAAGGGATTCCACCAGGCACGGCATAAGGGTTTGGCTTGGAACATTTGACAGTGCGGAAGCTGCTGCTTTGGCTTACGATCAAGCTGCTTTTGCCATGAGAGGCTCCGCCGCGATACTCAACTTTCCGGTGGAAAGAGTGCAAGAGTCGCTGAGAGACATGAAGTGCCACCAGGAGGAAGGGTGTTCGCCGGTGGTGGCTTTAAAGAGAAAACACTCCATGAGGAGGAAAATGATAAGCAGAAGCAAGAAAGAAAGAGATGTCAGGATAAACAATGCGGTGGTGTTGGAGGATTTAGGTGCAGATTACTTAGAAGAACTTTTGACTACATCTGAAACTGCTAGACCTTGGTGAATCCAAAAAAAAGAAAAGAAAAAAACAGCAAGAATAAAACTTGTTGTTCATCTATTTCTAGTCTTCTTTTTTTTTTTTCTTAACTCTGCCTTGAGCTCTGTTTTTGTTTTTCCTTCAGAACCCCACCATTTGTAATCAGAAAAGGGTGTAAGAAGGTTCACATTTTGATATTTTTAAATGTGTATCCTCTCTTTTTCTTATTCCATTTTGTGTAAAGTTGAGGAACAAGAAATTAAGAATAGCAATAATTTCCAGGAGACTGCTTGTCTCACCCACCAAAGACAGAGGTTGGCTGCTGCTGCTACTGTTATAGGATTTATGGACACATATCCCTCTTCCAAAAAGAGAAAGGAGGACATGACTACATACCCATATTTTGCGAACAAAAATAATTTAAGAATGATGATATAAAAATAATACTTTATAATTTTTTATATTGGCTACATTAAATGGCAAAATGCAACTTTATTTATTAACTTATTATTTTTTACGATTCAAATTCGAGATTTCACGTAACTAAAACATGACTAATTTATATGATAATATCATTTGAAAAATAAATGAATACAAATAACATCATGTGCTACATTGCTAGTCACCGTGACAGGAACGTTGTTCGCTCTCAAATTGAGTATAATTGAATCGATAATAACTTATTTATTTTTTGAGAAAAAAAATTAATCCTGTTTTAATTAAATAAATAAAGTGTTATTTTATCTAAGCATATGCATTATACCCTAAACCAAAGAAGAAAAATTCTCCAAGACCAAAAGATTCAAAGTATACTGAAAATAACTAAGATGATCAAACCCTTTATTAAAAAAGAAATTATGATGTTCATAATATATCTCTATATTAAATTTATACATCTAGAATAGTCTCTGGCAGTGGTTGCAGCATCAACTCTTATCTCTTCCATTTTTTAATTTTCTTCTAAGATGAGTCAAAGCTTCTACTCAATTGAACTTCAAATGCTTCCTCCTGTTCTCTTTTCTCGTTAAAACAAAAGACACAACCTAGTTTTTGTCGGTCACAACTTGCACATTGAAAAGTTAAAACCATGAACTAAGAAGAATTAATTCGTATTACGCAAAGAGAAAATCTGGGTTGGTCTTCACTTCAACAGTAAACCCCTCCTATCTTTTCCTTTCTCTCCCCTCTCTTACTTCCCTGTACAAGTCCTTCGAGTTGTAATTTTCTTTTTCCTCCATACAATCAAATTGGATAAATTTAAAGCAAACACAGATGAAAATTTTAAGAGGCGAAATTGGCGGACCATGAAGATTAAACAATGGAGGATGATGGGTTAGTTTGTCAATCGTCTATACTCCAATGATTTCACAGATTACTATTTGAGTGTAATTTCAAAGTTAAGGAAGCTTCCTGCTGAGTGCTGGTTTAATGTCTTTAATGTTATTCTTGGACTGTTATCTATTGCCTAATAAGACTAATCTAATTTTAAGTGAATTTAATAACTTATGCATGATTGACTTGTTCTTAATCGAGTTCACGTTTCATATTGTTACTTTTTTCTTTGGCCAATATGACCAGCTTTCCTTTATTCCAGAAGGTCAAAAAATGGCCCAATTTTACTATTTCTCTTAATTAATCTGGAAACTTAGCTCCTTAATAATGGTCCTGAAATGAGTTAAGGACTCTTTATGATCAATTTTGAGTAGGATAGTATCAATAGTAACCTTCTTCTTCCCTTCTTCCTTAGCAAAAACGAAGGGAAAAAATATATATATATATATATATATATATCAATAGAATATTTGGCTATGGTTAATTGATTAATAAATGGGAATATCTCCCTTGAGGGTGGTATATAGTCAGTCAATGGTGTTAGCTAAGGAAGATGATTAAATTATCTTCCGACTAATTGATTGATTCCACAATTATATTAAGGAATTTATTTCCCTAAGCAACCTATTAAAAACAAATTATATGGTTAAGTAAAGCAATTTTACAGATCAATCAATTTTGTCACGTGATTCCTTGATCGTGACATTTAGAGTCCAAGGTTAAAAGTACGTGGGTCAGAATCTAAATTTTAGTCAATTCAAAAAGGGTGTTTTGATTTCAAGAAAACTCATAAAGTGTTAAAGCTCATAATCCAAACCTTTGATGCCTTATTTGATGCTTCCATCGTGGCATGGTTAACTGAACTTGGTCACCTTCTTATTAAATACGAATGACGAGGATCTTGAATTCAATCTTTTTTTATTATTATTATTTTTAGTATTAGTTAAATCGAATTTGGTCACTCATCTTTAATTTATCTTTTTACTCAATCTAATACATTTATTTTTTTATTATTTATTAAAAAATTATATTTATATCAAAACTAAACAGGTGGGAAATAAATTTATCAGTATCTCAATAAGAGACTGCTTAAAGGTCTATTTTATGACATTAATTTGACTAAAAACAAAAATCACTTACCAGCTACCGAATTACATTTTGTTTTCCATTGATTAGGGTCTTTGCCACAAGAAGCTTTTACGATTGCAATTTACTTAGATATTCATGCACGTTAATCATGAAGATTATTGAAAACATAAAGTCCTTGTGGATTACAGCTGGCGGGAAAAAGATTATTTTAATTGAAATTCAGGGGAAGCAACCAAGACAAAGGTAGAGGAAAGAATTCTTACATAGACATGAGCCTTAACTATACTTGTCAAAGGGAAATTATGTTCCATTTAATGTTCATGCATTGTCTTATACACTCTTGGCTCTTTTCTGTTTTCCTTTTTAAACCAAGCTAGCCGCCGTATTTGTCTTTTATTTGCAGGACAGTACCTGCAAATTGTATGATAGACAACTAACTACCTAATTAGTTGACAAATAATTGTTTAAGGGATATGGTCAAGCATAATTAGACAGGCAAAAACTGTATATATTTTTAAATTTTTTCTTTTACTGTGTGTTTTCATATCATTAATTAATTATTAATTATGTAAGTTTCGTTTCATATTATGTACAGCTACGATAATAAATTTTGTGAATAAGACATTATTTTTTAGACATCGACAGAATAAAATGATGACGAGAGTATGATCGTGTTTTATGAAGTCCTCATACGTAACAGAAAGAAACATTGCACAGACCAAAACGATAAATGCGTCTCATTAGGGTGATGTTGATGTATGTTTTGGTAATGTAGCTATCTCGCTAGAGAAAGTACCACAGGCTGATTCATTGGTTTGCAATAAGCAGACTGTATCTATGTGCATGCAGAGTATCTGTCAAGCGTGCCAACAAGCAGCTGTGCTAGATTCGATGATCTGATTGAAATTGGACAGGGATGAAAACCCAATGTACCAAAAGGAAAAAACAAAGTAACAGGTTGCGGGAGGGACTTCTTTGAAATCTGTATCTTAAGAATTAACTTGGCAGTCGGCAGTGGCATAAGAAAGTCAATGTCGTAGAGGTCTGATTCAATGACTCCCAAATGTACATTCACTTTATAATTTCTTGAGCGATCAGGTTATCGCTGGAAGAATCAAAGACCAACTCAACTCCACGTTTTGTTGCCCTATCTAGCTGTTTTAATTCATTTATGCATTGAGCGGATAACGAAAAACATATGCTCAATGGCTTAACTTTCTAAAAAATTTCATGTTCCAGGGCTTAGATTGATGAATTTTCTCAAAAAAATTGTCCTGGTTAAGTTTCATTTGAGGTATTAAGAATATTTTTCAGAAACAGGTTTAACATGTCTGAACTCTTATACTATAACAAAGCTATAGGAAAATTTTTGGATCAGAACATTAATCAAGAAGTTATGGGAACCCAATCAGTGTCTTGGCTTCTCTGGCCCAGCCCAAATGAAGAAAATTCAAAATTATCAAGATAATTTAGCCGTACATGATTTGCCACGGCCTCTCAAAGTAGGTATTCAGGGTTTCTGACTGCCATTTTTTTCCTGAATCAGCACTTAATGTTGCACTTGCTATGTCAAAGGAAATATATCTATCTGTTAAGTGATGACAGATGAAGGGGAACAAAGATACTGACAGGGATGATCTGATATCTCTACAGACCCGTTAAATTGATGCATTAAAGCAGAGAAAAGAGGATAAGTCATAAGATAAGAAAAGTTATTCTCAATGCACATGAACTCATAAGGATCACCAGCCATTAGGTAAAGGAATAATTTCTTTGACAAGGGTTGAAGGCCTAACAGTACCTCTCAAAGAAATTGGAGTATTGCAGGACTTCCATCTTATCTCCAGGTGTTTTAGTTCTGCTCCACTAGCCTTCTTCCCTAACAAGTCATGTTTGTTCCTTGTTGCACCAATCTGTTATCAGTTGTGGGCACAAGAGTTTTCAAGGTTTAAGCTTCTGATCAGTAGTACCATCTCAAAAATACAGCCTTGAAACTTTTGGTCAAACTCATTAATAAGCCAAGTCATGGATCATATAATAGCCCTGTTCAATTCAGGGAAGATGAATTTGGATATAAAAGATAATATCATGGCATCAGTGAAAAAGAACAACTAAACCAGCCAGTCGAGACCACATATACAAGTGTCTCTTATGAATAAATTTAGCCAGATCATTGATAAGACAAAATGGAAGATGAAACTGTTATTAATACCCATTCATCATATTGAAGATGAAACAGTTACTGATACATATTCATCATAAGCTGGAGAAACAAATTATGATACACATTGTTCATACACATTTTCATACAAATTAATCATATACTGAAAGTTTCTGATACAGGTCTCCAGAGATGGCTTGTTCCATCACAGTGACAGGGTCAATAATCCCTCCATTGTCCAAGAACAACTCCACCAAATTCTTTAAGAATCCACCGACTAGTGCCACTCCAGCCTGATTGGAAGGAACAGGCGTATCAGGGGAGTCGTTGAGGTTCCAAAACACAATCTCTGGCATTCTAAAACCCTTCTCTTGAAATTTCCTTTGTATCCCTCCATACATGGATTCCCATGATTTTGCTGAGTTTTCGCTGTTTCTCTTCAATCTTCTCTTGCTCCACCTCACACGTAGCATACCACTCATCCTCCAGAGTATAACCTTCTTCACTACCAGTGTCCCAATCTGAAAAAGGACTGTAATAACCAGAACATTGTCCATTTGAGTAAGTTGAAACGTTTCTTATTGGATGATCATAATTCTGCCTAGATGCTTCATCAAATTCCATACCACTGAAAACAGAAATGCTCCTTATCATCTGATCCTCCTTTACCTTCCCATCTACAGCAACCTGCAAAATTCTATCAAACACTTTCTCAAAATCAACATTCGCACCTCTATCCATCTTCCTTAAAAACTGAGTCTTTGACAAAGGTTATCCCCTTGGATCAAATGAAGCTCCGGATTTGAGCCACAGATAATCAACTTCCCCTTCCATGGCTCTTCACAGAGTTCTGAAATCAATAGCCCGAGAGCAACACAGACCTCCATAGGAGACCCATCCATGCTGTTAGAGACATCAGATATTGCAATGCAGTTATTCAATTCTCCCTTCTTTTTAATATCCTCCACCATCCTCCTCCATTGCAAATCTGCAACCTCATCTGCAACCTTTAAAGATGCGATGATTTCATGTGGAAGCAATGCACCAGCAGCAGTTGTTTCATCTTCTTTCCTCATATCCTGAATATACCCAACAAACCTTTGGTTGTCATGCCACAAGAAATGTTTCTTGTAATTTTTCATGGAAACAGAAGGCACCCTGTTATAAGACAGAGCGTCCCATTGCTTTGAACTCATGTACAACTCTGGCAATTCAAGAGCCTTATGCAAAGGAACAAGAACTTGCTTTCTCAACCTATCTCTCAACCTAAATGCATAATGAGCCTCCTCTATTCCCTCATAACCAGGATCAGATTTCCTTGGAAACATCCTCCTCGCTATATATACTTTCACATATTAAAGTAGCCTTATCATAAGCAGAATAAATTGAACGACACCATTTAGACGCCAGACTAATTTTCCTAACCTCCGCAGAATTCAAAAACATTATCTCTTTCTTTAAATCTACTGCAAACATATCAGCTATACAATCATACAAAACCTAGACATGGGTCCGGTGCAATACCTTTCGTAGGCCTTTTTTGCCTTGTTCAGCTCTCTCTCCTTTCTTAGACTCCTCTCGTTCTCCTTATTCACGTATGCCATCTTTGTCGTCTGGGAAACCGTAACATCCCTTGGCAACTGCGGCTTACGCTTGGATTTATACATCTTTTTATTGAGCCATTTCCCTTTCTTTTTCTTCCTGGTTTGCCACTCTTGCTTCGCATTTTCCCTCACTTCCTCTCCTTCCAAAAGCCTATAAAGAATCTCCAACAAGTCCTTGTAGCATCCAAACTATGCAAAAATCCTGACATTGCGTGCTAAGGTTTTAGAGTGGTTTTTGTGTACCCACAATGCAGCACTATAAAAGCTTTCTTTATCAGAATTTCCAGTGCCACGGACACCTCTTAAATTGCAAACAAGCCTCAAGGTGGTTAAAGGGTCGTAAGACCAGGCCTTTACGAGCAGATTAACAAGGACATGAGTTGGCATGGAAAGCAAGGCAGAGAAGAACAAGTCCAGGCAAGGGTTGACAGTGTTTGAGCAACTGAAGGACTCGTTTTTCGGGAACCCTAACTGCGGTATGATGGGTTTGACAGAGTCGAGTTGAAGGTTGTCGACGCCAGCTTGGTGGGAGCGCACCATGGAAACGCCACTGGGGGATAGCCCCGGTGGACCAAGAAGCAAGGTATTGGAAGCCATTGGGGTTAAATGGCTCTTGGGTCTTTTTCGTTTTTTCTTTCTAGGGTTTACTGTTGAGAGTATGTGGCTGTGAAATGGAGCTCTTTGGTGGGTGTTTAAAAAGAGTGGCTTTTACTTGAGGAGCAAGAAATTAATGGAGATTTGAATCATGTGATAACAGTTTCAGCAGAATTTTACTCCACTAGGTTGTTTATCCTCTTATAGATAATTAGGAGTTGCGTAATAAACTTATCTAGAATCTTTTGAAAATATATACAATACATTATAATTTTAATTACTTTTGATAATTCTCTTATCATTGATTGAGTAAAAGTTACCCTTTCAACTTGAGCATTAAGTTTGGAATCTTAAAGTCTCTTCAATTTTTTTAAAGAAAAAAAAATATAAATTCCGTTTAAATTATATTTGACTGGCGATATGAAAGTATTTCTATGTAAAAGAAAAACTTAGAACAAATCCAGGATCTTGGCAGTTGGCACCTTCTGTTGAGCCAGGCAATGCCCCTGTTTGGGGGGATGGGGAGGTCCATGGCATAAGATTATTTTCATATAATTCTACTTTTGAGTGACAATATGAAAAGGCCAGAGCAGTCTCTTTACAATTTTACGCTTATCAGCACAATCTACAAATCATTAGAAAGCAAATTATTGCAAGCTTCTAGCATTGTATCATTGTTTAGTTACCATGCATGTTATGATATTCTTGTGATTTAGTATTAAGTAATTTACTAGTACAAATGTAACATCCTTGCTGATTGTCGTTTGATCTGCCCAGTCCGCTGAGATTTGTCTACCATCCATGTTATTAAGATATGCTTCTGGGATGTGATAGGCAGGTCTTCACAATGTTGTAGTCTATGTATACCTTTGTTTTGTAGAACTTCTGCCCCTTCTTTATGGATTCTAAGTGATGCCCTTTGGATCTTGCTTGGTTTAGATGTGATTTGCATTGCTGGTATGAATCCAATTAGTCTTTGATCATGTCGATGACGGGAAATTTTGAGTTTTTTTAGTTCAATTTGATCATACATGGCCTAAGGGCAACATTGCCTCGTTAAAAGGTTACTACTTTGGAGTGGCTTAACTTATTTGGTTTAGGCAATTGTACAAGAAAAATTCTTTAGTCTCATAATTGAGCCAGTTCAAAGATGTGTATACTCCTTGTTAATTATCATGAGGAGTGCAGTGATAGATTTGAAATATTTGCATATAGTTTGAGTCATGGAACGTGCTTTAAGACCTATTTAGTTTCAGACATCTGAGTTTTGGCTGTTGTATACACAGCTGTTGGACCAACCCATCATCTGACATCTGGTTTCCTACCCAAAAATGGTTCACCGAGCCAGGCCTCCTCCAATCTTGAAGTGAGTCAGTGGGCTTTGTTATGTTTTTACACATATTGTTTCCTTTACTGTTCTTGGCTTTGATAAATGACCGCTCCAACAAATTTAATTTATCTATAACTTTTTCTCAGTGGGTGAGGATTTTCATTGGATGAAAGGCCTGATCGCTCATTTTCTTTAAAAGAAGATGAGTAATGCCATTAGGACAGAAAGATGCTAACATCTCATAAATTATTCAATTTAAGATATTAGTGATCCACAATGTGAGAGAGTTCTAAATAAAAATAACAACTTAACGGCAAATTTATTACAGGACTTGAGTAAATTGACAAATGACTCCTTCTGTGGTAACAATGCTTGGAAAGAGATTAACAATGCTTGGGTCGACCCCCAGTTCCTTTGGGGTCATGGAATTGGAATTATCACATATATTTTATTTTGGGGTAAAAATGTGAAAGGCAGAGTAGTCTCTGCATTTCGCACACCTGTGCATTAGATATTCATGGCAGACGAAACTGGCTATAATTGACTGAAGGATAGAACCCAAAAGTAATTGGATGCCTTGGAATCTTGAACTCAGAAACTTATCCTAATGGTATGATGTTCTTGTGACCTATATAAGGCAATTGACAAAAGTTTTAGGACTTTGGTAACTTCAGTTGAACTGTCTTAGTCCTTTTGAGGTCCCTGAAATTTATTGACTCCCTTGACTTATCACTTCTGGTCCGGTGCACGGTCCTTTTCGTTTCCTTACCTGGAGCTAGCTGTTACAGGTTAAAGTTTTGCTGAAATTTGTCATTTCCTGCTGATTTGTAAATGATGTTGATGTGTTCAGAAATGACTTGGTTTAGTTTCTAATGCTCTTGCTGGGTTAGACTCGTTTGACACTTCCTAAGTTATTGCAGGTTGGGTTTTGTTTTGGTCAAGAGTGTCCCTATGAAGAAAGAGGACATTGGTAGCAAATTTTCAGTTTTTTAGCCTAATTCTTTGGTACATGTCCTAAGAAACTTGATTTCGAAGACGAGTTTCAGTTTTTTTAGCCTAATTCTTTGGTACATGTCCTAAGAAACTTGATTTCGAAGACGAGTTTCAAGGGAAGAACGTTAATCTCTTACATTTCTTATAGCTAGTTAGCTGAATATACTAAATTACACAAAGTATATCGTATGTAGTAATGCAGTTCATTACAATGAATATCCCCATTGAATTCAGTCTCATCATGGTTGAACCGCTTGAAAACTGTGCATTTTTCTAGTCGTTTTGAGAGGGTGCAGGAAGATGTTTCCAACATTTTTGTGGTTTGGGTTGTGGGATGAGCTTCAAGTTCCATAACTTGGTCTAAAAGGTAACTACTTCTTCCCCAGTTTTGCAGAAAATCAATGATCAAAGATCAGGCGGACCAATGAAAAGTTCTGCATCTCAAGTTTTCTACCACACAATGGAGTCCTCCCACAATCTTGGGCTGATAAATAAGCTGTTATTTTTTAACAAATGAGATATGACATTTCCACTATTTTCCTATGAAGATCATTTTGTTATTTGAAAAGATACATTTAAACTATTCGAGAGAGGAGGAAAGACTTAACCATGGGAAAACGAAACAGGTAAGTGGTTTTCTCAATGTGAAGAGATGGTGAAAACAAATTTTAGTGATTGAGCACTCTGCCTTAATATCCTAGCTGGCAAACACAAAAAGAAGAGGTTTTCAGGGCATGTTATTTGTCAGGACAAGTCTCATAATTTGGCTATAAGACATTGTTAAATCATCGTGGTGAGGTCATTCTGTGATGGTTGGTGAGGGGGCCTTATAACAGCAGTTAATGTTAGGAATAATATCATACTTAGCTTAACCATTACAGGAAATACATCAACATAATAAGGCAGCACTAATTATATCACGGGGGGACTGAAATGCAGCTGCTACTGCAATGCTAAAAAGCATGTGTCTTACGTAAGTCAGAAAGGACCTGGTAGTCAATTAAACATTATTGCTTTGATGAGGACCAACCCTAATCATGACCTCTACCACCCGCAGTAAATGTTTTGGGTGGGGGTATCATGCTTTTGCCCCCATCTTCGTATCTTCTGTAATCTTGTGATGATATTGAAGTTAATGACTTGATGATGTTATTTATGATGATTTGAGACACATTTATAAGGTTAAAACCTAGAAGGACTGTAAAATTCTTGTAGACATGTAACCATGAAAAATGAGAAGCAATAGGATTTTAAGTTAGATGCTAATTCTACAAAGGTTGTCACTCAGTTAGTAGGAAATAAGCTGCCAGCCTATGGAAGAAGCTAAGAAGGGATGTGGGGGAGGAGTTATTAATTTTTGGTTAAACAAGAAATGCTACAAAGCATTCGTGTTTTACCATCTCAAAGTAGCTAGAAAATTGGTTTACCATGGTACCTCCAACCGATGCAAGTTCACCCTAATGGGCAATAAAATGGTATCTGCTGCAACAGAGGTACTCAGAATACATTAAATGAGATTTATGACGATGCAGTGGCATATGGAGTCGGTAGGAAAAAGGCAATCATGGACCAGACTGAAAAATTTTGTGGTCTGCGATCATAATTGTTGAAAGAAATTGTTTTCAGATTAGTTCTTTGCAAATGACATGACATGGACTTCACCTCCATATAGTAGTGTCTAGATGAACGGAGTAGCATGTAAGCAACACCGTCAGTTTGTCAGACTTGCTTTTGTAATCCCACAATATTAAAATATTGTCTATTCCTAACAGGACCAAAATAATGAAGATTTTGAGAACTAAAACATCATTAACAAGTCCAGTCCCGTTACTTTTTCTTGTCCGGGAACATGCTGATCTGGCTTACGTCCCTGGACACTTCAGCACAATCTTGTTTATAAGTTTCTTTGACTTTGACGTAAGTTTTTCTCGCAGGAGGATGATACTTCGCATTGTCATATAGCAGTCTAGCTACTCACTTCTGATTTCTGACCAGTTTGTAATGGAAACACATTTACACCGCAAAATGAGAATATTCATTTTGCTTATGCCCTTTAACTTTCTTCTTAAATTTTTTAAAGTTTTTGGATGATGTTTTCTGTATTTTCATATGGATCAAAGTGATGGCTAAAGGTCAAAATAGCCTTAGCAACGTGGTCAAATTAGGTACACACTTGTGAATACGACAAAATAGTTGTTAGGAAACTTTAATTTCTGTGCACCATGCTTTCCTCCACTAAATTCGGCTTTTTCTCATTAGTGTTTGTTTATCAATTTGGGCTTAGACATGTGACCAAAAGGCAGGTTTCCTCGTCACATTTAAGTGTGTGAACGCTAGAGATGGATGTCAAGGAGTGTCTGTCGGTGCCAAAAAGCTAACTGATCTGACTTACGGACTAGACTGTAGACTATAGTAGGGCGGTTCTATTGGTTTGCCAATCATTTTCGGTCACCAGGATTGTGTAGGTGAAAATAAGACACATAACCTTGCTTTGGGGTAATCATATGGGTTCGCAAACTCTGAAAACTTGACATGCATGAAGAAAAACGCTTTCAAGGCTTCCTGTTAGCATTTGTATTTAATGTAGGACCTATAGTCTACATTTGTTAGGGCCACTTTGCTAAATCACCTTAATGTTTGCTTGACTCTTACTATCACTTTATACTGCTTGTTCGTTTATAATTTTGAAACTCGCTTGGATGGAATGCACAAGAAAGGGCTAGAAGCTAGGGTTGGATAAGTATTTAGCTGCAGATAGAAACACCGGTACGTGGCTTAGATGGATCTTGGACAGTTTAGCTTTGAAAACAGGAAGTGGAACAAGAACCAGAAGAAAATCAAAGTTAAGAGGCTCATTTCAAAGATTTAATAATGTAATTTGTAGTCACTTGCGGTCCTGCAGGCGACGTTTTTGACTCCAAACTCCTTTAGGCCCTTTAAAAATTCTAATTATATAACAAGGTTGGAATCTGTCAGCATATCCTCTGACAGGATGGTGGGGTCCTTGCATGGATAAGGAGACCACCGTTGGGTGCATGCAGAAGACCACATGGTCGTCCAGAGAAGACCGAATAGAATAAGAGAATTAGCTCGTTTACATGTTTTTGTCCTTACACAGATCGATTTCCAGTTATTTCAATAAAAAATTTTCAACAGTTATAAATGGACTGTATTACAAAATATCAGACAATTGCCCTTTCTTTCTCTGCAATCGAAGTTATCATACTTTTGTGCTTAAAACAATGAAATTCAGATTTGTGGCATTATGGCATATTTTAGAAATCATGGAACATTTACTTTTTAATTATTTTTAATTTATATAATTTTGTAATCATCTTTTCAAAACAAATTTGTAATTATAATTCATAACTTTATCCATTTTTAGGCAAATTGTAACATAGAATCAAAATTTCACAGTAACCAACCAGGGCATCTTTACTTGGTTGATGGAAACAAAAAAACCTGAGAAATAGATCTCACGTTTCTTGCAAGTGGGAAGTTGGGTAGAAGATTTCTGTTCCAATTTAGTTTATGTGCTTGACAAATATTAGCATTTTTTGGCATCCAGTAGATGGATAAAGATTGCTCATTGCAACTGGCATTATTGTGTCAAATATTATAAATATATATATATATATATATATATATATATTTGTCTTGGCCTGTCTGCCATTGTTTACTCCATGCATATAGTGAAACAAATGAAAAAGTTGAGTCCTGGAACCTCTTTTGGATCGCCAAAAAGGCACATGCACGTGCAAATACAGGAAAAATCTGCGATTAATACTACTGCCCTCCGGATTTGCACTTAAGATGAATTTGGATATGCTCAATTGCTCATTAAGCAATAAGAAGAGAATAGACATTTCAAGGAGTAGTGACATGAGCTTTCTTGATCGCTCGCATCTGATCTCTCATCAAACAGGACTTATGATGAAAACATTATATGACATGCAAGAAAATATAACACAAGTTGGCAGCAGCCATTATTTGTAGTTACTAATCTATCTATATGGCCATAGTAGCTCATGTTGTTGGGATGGCCTGGTGATGGGGGCTAGTTTGATGGCTTCCCCATTGGAGGGTGTCCTGGATAGTGACCATAAGGTGGCTCATACACCGGAGGTTTCTTAGGAGGTTCATACACTGGTGGCTTCTTTGGAGGTTCGTAAACCGGTGGCTTGGGCTCTGGCTTCTCTTTCTTGGGAGGTTCATACACTGGTGGTTTTGGTGGCTTAGGTTCATATACTGGTGGTTTCTTTGGTGGCTCATACACCGGAGGCTTCTTTGGAGGCTCATAAACTGGTGGTTTGGGTTCTGGCTTCTCTTTCTTTGGTGGCTTAGGTTCATAAACTGGTGGCTTTGGTGGCT